ATATAAATGCTTTTTGCACTGATGCCGACAATGTTACGAAGAAATATTCATCTTAATATTAAGAAATATTCATCTTAATATTCTATATATATATAGAATATTAAGATAAATATTTCTTTGCAACTTTGTAAATGTCTGGTGTTTAGAAAAAACACCAGACCTCCTAACACTAGATCTACTTTATCTTCCTGAGTGTTGCAGTCACCGACCTTTTGAGGGCCGACACTTTCTTGGGCGACTTCTTCTTGAGTTTGGGCAGACAGCGGTCCTGCTCGAAGCCCTTGTTGTCCAGCAGCTGTCTCATGGCTATATTGGCGAGCTGCTCCATGAGTTTGAAGGTCTCGTTGATGTTGCGGAAGACGGAGAAGACGTGCTCGCTGCAGCGTGTGCTGACGAGCACCATGTCCGGCAGCAGCAGCGTGGCGTTCTTCTCCAGCTGAGTCACGTCGGCCCAGCGGATCACCAGCTTAGCTGAAACAAACCGCCACACAAGAGTAAACATTAAGATCTGTTAGGACAGAACATATGCGACCCTGGAGCACAAAACCAGTCTTAAGTAGCATGGGTATATTGCTGTAACAATAGCCAACAATACATTGTATGGAACAAATTTGATGATTTGATGATTTTTCTTTTAGGCCAAAAATCATTTGGATATTAAGTAAAGATCATATTCCATAAAGATATTTTGTAAATTTTATATCAAAATTATATCAAAACTTAATTTTTGATTAGTAATATGCATTGCTAAGGACTTTATTTGGACAACTTTAAATGCATTTTTCTCAATATTTAGATTTTTTTGCACCCTCAGATACCAGATTTTCAAATAGTTGTATCCAAATATTGTCCTATCCTAACAAACCATACATCATTGGAAAGCTTATTTATACAGCTTCCATACTCAATAGCCACTTACTGTACACACTGTAAAGTTTCAGGAGTGACAACCACATTTACATACAGTGGTAAATCTCATATATTATTGTTTTGTGTGAGTATGGAACAGAACTCACAGATGATTGACATTGTTGTAACCATAGCAACATTTTGACTTCTCACACGTTCAGTATCCACAATTTTTTTTTTATGAAAATAATACTACAATGACCTAAGACTCGTTATGTTCTGCAATTTTAACTAAACCACTGTCAACAGCCATTGTGTTTGGGATGAAAGTGGGAAAGTTCGGAAGGCTGCTTTGCAGAGCGCTATTGAAGGGTTGCCAAATCCTCTTATTATAAACAATACTTATTTAAGCGACTTTGGGCCTGTTGTTTAGGATCGGCTTGGCTCATAATGCGATCCATATTATGGAGATAATAAAGTAGGCAGGTGCAAGTCATGATATTTTGGTATGTGGCTTATTTGTAAAGATAACACATCTGGGTCTGATTTACAGTTTATTTTTTTATAGCAATATCTGGCAACACTGAGTCAAGACATACATCCTTCCCTTTGATATCTTGCACCACAACTCTGATATGCGTTTAAATAAATCATTAACAACAACTTGTTCAGTGCAGTTCTGCACACACTGCAGAATTTCTGTAAATGTGGTTGCCATTACCTGCATTTTTTGGGAGTTAATTCATTTGTAGAATCCATTTTTAGTTTTAGATTTTTAAAATAATTAATTTTAAACATTATTGTTAACATTTATTTTATTTCAAGTAACAATTTTTTTAAAATGGTTTTAGTTTTATCATAATCAGTGTAGTTTACGTTCAGAATAAAGCATGTGCACGCTGAACGTAAACAGAGCTGATTACGTCGATTACGTTCTGGGGTACTTTCCAAAATGGCAGAAGACGGTAACTCGGCAAGAAGAATTGCTGAATAAATTATGTTATTATTGTTTTCTTTGCACACAAAAAGTATTCTCGTAGCTTCATAAAATTATAGTTGAACCCCTGATGTCACATGGATTATTTTACCGATGTCCTTGCTACGTTTCTGGACGTTGATTGTGGTAGTTACCTTGCTGTCTATGGGAGGGTCAGACAGCTCTCAGATTCCATCAACAATATCTTAATTTGTGTTCTGAAGATGAACAAAGGTCTTACGGGTTTAGAACGACATGAGGGTGAGTAATCAATGACAGAATTTGAATTTTGGGGTGAACTATCCCTTTAATTGTAACACTTGCTGACCTTTTTATTCAAAACCGTGATTCTTCTATTTTAAAACAAAACATTACATTACATTACATTACAATAGATACAATCAGAAATAAGGCCCACCCCTGATGTGTAGTTGTAGTGTACTCACCCTCTTTCCCGAGCAGGTAGGAGTAAAAGCAGAGGTGGTTGATGCTGAGGTACAGCCAGCCCTGCCGCGGCACCTTGCCCTTCCAGTAGCTGCAGGAGTAATAGTTGACCAGCTTCTCCTCCTCCGGCATGACAAATAGCTTGCGAAACTTAGCGATGGCCTCCTTAAACTTATCCGTGTCGTCATCCTCTCTGATATCATGGCTTTTGTTGTATTCGGCTATAATGCCCTGAACACAAACACACACCTATAAGCGCTTTGGCTTATAATGAAGCACCAATTAAACGAATAGCGTGTTTGAAATGCTAATGTGTAACCTGTATTTTGCCCTTGACGAAGGTGGTGATGTCGTTCTCATTCTCGAAGATGGAGAGCGTCTGCAGCAGATTCTGCTCCAGCCATTCCCAGTTCTCCGTGATCTCCTTACGAGAGCTCCCTGCCAGAAACAAAAGCCTCTGCGTCGTCAAATAATACGAATCCAGGCGTTTAGGATCATGCATTTCATTTGAAGTCTTTATCTGCAGCGACTTCATTTGCTCAGAAGTGAACAGCAGATGGGTCCGTGTTCTTGGTTTGATTAGCTGTGTTAGCACAGCTCTCTGTGACAATTAATCAAACACATTACTGGCGAGCCAAATGATTCATTAAGAGCGTTCTGTGACGAGCGCCCCGCAATTAGGTAAAGATGGAAATACACAATTATTTAAAAAATAAACTATCTGCGCTCCATCTGCCGTTTAACCAAAGCTCACAAAAACAAACAAATACATTTAATATTAAATGTTAAGTTAATATTAATATAAACATATATATATATATATATATATATATATATATATATATATATATATATATATATATATATATATAAGAAAAAA